CTGAATTGATTTGGTTAATAGAAAAAAAAAAAAAAAGTTAAGGCAATTGTAGGTTGAAGAGTCAAGGTCGGTAGAAAGCCAAGGAGTAGATGTATTTAATATCATAAATTTTACATGAATTAAAAGAATTAATTATTTTAATAATATATTAAATTATACAAAAAAAATAAGATAAATAAATTATACAAAAAGTATTTCTCAAAAATAAAAATGAAAAATGAAATTTTTTAAAGGTTGTTTTTATCATGTCATTATTTTTATCATGTTGTCAATTCGAGGTGTACTAATGTTTTGACGTGGTGTCGTTTTCTTGTCCACTAACAAGACATGTTAGTGACTTTTTAATGAAGAGATTAACTTCGGAATCAAATTTAAAATTTTATGATCAAATCAAGGATTTTCGAAGTTCAAGGACAAATCAATGATCTATATAATAGTTGAGGGGCAAAGTTAGGGGTTTACTCCTTTTGTTATTTTTATTCATAAAGATTAGAGACCTTTGATGTATGCATTTTTTTTTTAATTTTTCTTGTATAGTTAGAAATAATTATTTTTTATCTTTTATTTTATTTCATTTATATGTTATGTGATTTGAATTCAAAATCTCTTTTTTTTTAAAAAAAAATATTAAATTATTTCAATCAAATACCTAACGTTGTTAGGAGATTAATTAAATAATTAAAATTTTAAGCGCTAGAATTTTGCTTTGATTTAACATGGAGAGGAGAGGTACATATCAGCCCTTCTACTTATAATGTTGTGGCATGTCAGCCCCTTTCCTTCACATTGACGCAAATCTGCCCCTCAACTATATGAAATTCACAAATTAACTGTTTTAGTAAAGATGACATCATTTTCCTGTCCAACTATTCATTGCCTCATTAAGGGTCTAATATCATAAACATTTCTCAAATTTAAGAATTATTATTTTATAAGTTAGGTGAGCCCAGATTATAAAAGTTCTTTAAACTAAAAACCAAACTCAAAGGGGTGAGAAATGGGATTTTCTCTATTATCTTTAATTTTTCTTTAATTTTATTTTTAAGATTTATTTAATTTATACTTTAAGAGCATAGGTTAAAAGTATAATAAATATATTATTTTATAATTAATTCACATTAAAAATTATAAAAATTGATATATATTTTAATAACAATGACATATTTTTGTTTAGAAATCAAATTAACATATAATTAAACTTAAAAAGCTAAAGTTAAAAGATCAAATTAATATTTGTAATCAAAATTTAAAAACCAAGTTGATACTTATCCTCAAAATTTAAGGACTAAATTAATGTTATCTTCAAAGTTTGAAGACTATTTTAGTGTCAAAAATTAAAGTTCAAAAATAATTTTAGGACATTTTAAAGTTGAGGGACAATTTTAAAACAAATTTAAAAGTTGAGAGACCAAATTGGTCTTTTAACCTAAACAAAACAATTGTTGAAGTAATTTTTGAGGCACGGCCGTCAGCAGCGTCCGGCTTCCTTGCCATTAGTAAATTATAGTCTTTACAAATCTACCTCTTCTGAAAAGAAGAAAAAAACTTCAATAGCAATGTTTCATAAAAAAACTAACAATTATGGTATATTCATTCATTTCTTCTTTTCTACTTCCTCTTCATTGTGTCTGTGCCAAGTTAAATTAGCAATTGTCTTCCTGGCTTCTCGAATTTTTTGCCTATCTGTGGTTCTGTCTACGAAGATTACTCGTCCTTCTAGCAACTGCAAGAAACTTTCAATTGTCAACATGGATCAAATCCTGCCTCTAATAAGGATTGATGAATAATATAAGGGTTGTTCAAGGCATAGCAAAAGGGCTAAGAAGGGAGAAAGAAACAAGGAAACAAGAAGATAAACATTTTTACCTTCCCATTCATTTCTATCAAAGCCCTACTTGCTTCTTCCTCTGTGGCAAAGGTCACATAACCAAAACCTTTAGACCTGTTCTTATCTTTATCCTTTATAATCTTGGCTGGAAAATGAAAGTAGCTAAATGAATGAAATGATATAATAGAAAAAAAAAAATGTGAGTCTTATATAAAGCGGCCAGAATAAAACCTTCAAGTACTTCACCAAATTTTGAAAATGACTCAGCTAAAGTGAACTCTGTGGCTTTGAAAGATATACCTGCAAAACAGAAATTGGTTATGGTAACATAAAAGAACCACAGTGTCAAGGGAAGCAAGGGTCCAGGATGAGAAATATGGTATCTTATTATATGACACAAGTTTCCTCCTTTCTTTCAATCACAAATAGTGTTTATGGCCAACACCATGCTGTGTCTATCCCTCTTTTTCTCCCATATGAAAAAATGCACCTCCGACTCACAATTGCAATGTTAACTAGAAGAAGTAACAAAATGCATTTACCAAATGGCAACGTTGGAATTCAGCAACCAAAATGTATCCAAAGAAATCCAAATAATTTAGAAAACCATTCATTCTGTGCAACTGAAATTGATTTAGTAAACTTAACAGCCAACACAATTTAGAGCAACAAATCAATTAGTAGCCAAGGGAAGAACATATCAGGAAAAATAAAAAATAAAAAAATCTTTAGGATCTTATGTTCCTCAAGAAGCACTACTGCAAGACTATCCTGGGAAGAATTTATTCCAGAAAGAAAGCATTTAACAGATGCAAAACACAGTTTTCCTCTCCTTCAACACCATCAATTACAAAAATCATTTCTTTATCGTGAAACTACAGAACCTTATGGCATTGCCATTTGCCAATTTGACATAGCTTAATGGTTCAGATAGGGTCGTCGCCCCAACCCCATTTCCCCTCCAAGAAAATGCGCAAAATCCAATTCCTAGACGACGCAAACAGGATTTCTTAAAATGATAGATAAATTTGTATTATTCCTGATTAATCTCAAGACTAATTTCATAGTAAAGGCATTACCTTTGACGAACAAGGTAGAAGAGAAGCCTCTGGAGAAGCAGAACCGTGCAGGAGCTGTATTGTTGGGGTTTAGATGAGAGACATATTTTAAAATGCTTCCCCCAAATCTTGACGCTGCCATTTCAGAGATAGCGCAACAACGTCAGCTCGGTGACCGGCTTTTTCAGAGATTCATTCACCCTCAGAAACAAAGAAGACGAGGGTACGTCACAGGGTTATTCCAATACATAAACCAATTCTCTATTAGTCTTCTACTTTGAAGTTTGTTTCATCTTAGTCCCTCACCTTCATGACTTAACAACAGATCCCTGACTTAGATAAAGCAATCTTTTAATTAATATGTTTTTTTAATTTATACTAAGAAAACAATTATTGCATTCTTGTTACATTAATTTATATTAAAAAATAAAAATTATCATAAATTTTATTACTAATGTCCCATAAATTATTTTCATTAAATAATTGTTCAAATCAACATTAACTTTTATTTTTTCAAAACTTCAAAACTAATTAATATAAAAAAGGATTGCACCCTTTTGAAAAACCCTTTGCGTCCAAAACTAATCGATCTTCTGAAATGACCATTTTCTTTCACATGGTTTGAAGCTTTGACAAGACGGCCATTTTGATAGGCTTTTCGAAGTGTCAACACCAATTAAGTCCCACTCATCCAAGTGCAGGGGGCAAAAACCAACATTTAACGTTTTACCTTACAAAATTCGTAATTTTTAACCTCTCAACTTATAATATAACATTTATAGCTCTTTACCTTACAAAGTTTATAGGCTTTAGCCCCTCACCTTATAAAGTTGATAGGTTTTAACTTCTCACCTTATATTATGACATTTTTAGCTCCGCACCTATACGAATTGAAGAAAATAACTGTTACCTAACATCAAGTTATAAAATTCTATTAGTTTTGTTAACTTACTGTTAACATCCGTTAACATTTCATTATAGAAAACATTAAATTTAAATTCAATTTTATTTGTTAGTTCTATTAACATAATACTAATGAATGTTAACAAAACCAACAGTCAGTTAACAGAATTTACAGTCAATTAGCAGAATTTACAATTAACTAATAAAACTAACAAAACATTATAATATGATGTTAAGTGAAGGTTATTTTTTTCAATTCATACAAATAAAAGACTAAAAGTGTTATAATATAAGATGAGAAGTTAAAACTTATCAATTTTGTTAAGTAAAGGGCTAAAAGTGTTATATTATAAGATTAGAGGCTAAAACCTATTAATTTTGTAAAGGGAGGGACTAAAGTTGGTTTTAGCCTTCCAGGGGGTGTGGGGTTTCCTATAGCCCATATAAATTTCTCACCTTTATCTACTGTTCATACACAAAACTCATATTTGGACAGAGAACCTTCGATACGGAAAATGGTTGATGCATCTGTCAGATAATTATGAATGCGCTTGGTTTTCTCACTCTCAGAAAGGGCAAAAAAAAAAAATCTCACATCTCAATCCTATCCTCTGATGATTTTGTATTTTCTCTACCCTTGCAATCAGTTGTCCCACTTGATGCATGTTAAGGTCGTCGTCATCGCAACACAAAACATACACAAACCATAATCATCATTGAATTTATATAGCACTCCAACAAGGCCCACCAACCAAGTTTAAATTCTATACAAGCTGCATCTTCAATAATATAAAAAGGTCATGCTCAAAAAGGAGCAGAACACAGGAAAACAAAAACCTACACAATAAACAAAAACTCCAGGTATATATATTTTTGTCGCCTCCTCCAATCGATCATGATCCACAACTCATGAATGGTGTGCGTTCAGCACTGCCCGGTAGACCATGTCTATGAATTGATTGTCCTATCACATAGAAACCAAGCTAGTCAGCCTCTTCAGAACAGAAACAAACAGTATTGGCATGGAAAGTCGACGTTATTAAGTGTATTAAGCATGGAAAGTGTTGGCAACATGCAATTCAGAAAAACATCACAAACATGAACTATCAAATATCAATAAGAGAATGGTGGTTTCATCAAAAATTAAAAATAAAACTAATAAGACTGATAAGAGAATGGAGGTGCTTTAAGCCATATGACTAGTATTTCTCCTTTTTCCCTTAAAAACTGGCTACTGACTAGGTGATAGAAAGATATCTCGTCTAGGAGTATTAAACAACTCAGCAAGTGGGGTCAGATGTTAAAAACTAGAAAGCAGGCTTTCCTTCAAAATAGAGAAATATTTAACCATTGATTACTAACACAGTTGCTACTCCAGCACTGCTTACAACGACCTATTCTGCAATTGAACTATATCCTTCCCAGTTTTAGCTAGACATGATATGTTCAAGTGATCTCATGCAAAATGCAGTCAAATATCAATCATGATATATTAGTTATTAACAATCTTAAACAGCTACAAAGAGACAAAGATCTCATTGCTGTAACGGCTGTCAGAAAACTAACCTGCACAAGTGCCAAAAGTGCTTCCTTGACCTTTTCTCTGCTGATAACTGGACCATAGTTTGGAGCAGGAACAGAAGTAGGAGTAAGAGAAGGTGGAGGAGTTGGTGGTGGAAAAGGTTGGAGCAATGGAGCCCCATAGGGGTGTTGCAGGCTCACAGAAGGGTTGAGTGGAGGTGCAGTAGGCAAAGATGTAGAGACAGGTGGCATCATCCTTGCAGAAGAGGAAGGAGGGACGAAGAACGAGGAAGGCTTTACAAGATTAGTTGTCCGATTGCCATTGCTGCTAGATTCAGAAGTATCCAGTAGTGTCATTAAAGGAGTTGATGGAGCCAGAGGAGGCGAAGGCACTTGCAAGGTTGCAACAGTGGAAGATGAAAGAGTAGCTGGGAGAGAAGAAGCAATCATTGCTGCAGATGACTGATAAGGTTGCCCAGTTACTGCTGCACTTGAAGCACTTCCAACAGTCACAGCAGTCTGCAATTGTAATTTTATAATATTTAAGGGTTTAAGGGATAATGACAAGCAATTCTAAGTAAAAAATGCAGTTAATCTTAATGAACATCAACATGGTTGACCAGATAAAACTCAAATTTAGCAAGCTTAAGATCCATAATAAGAGCTGTTCAACATGAAAGGCCAAATGTAGCTTTTTTCTGTTAGGCTTGGCAATGTACAAATGATGTTGAAGCAACCAGCTAAAACTCAGTACAATGAGAAAAGTAAAAATCAGTAGGATTTGTCTCTTTTCAAGAATGGAGACTTGGCTATCTCTTATCCATGCATGATTTCATAAATTTCTCACATGATGTCAAACAACTAAAAGAGAATGCTTTAAAATTTTACTTGATCAAGATAACATAGTTTGGAGAGCATACACTGAAGAAGTTCGCAAGGGCAGTATCATCAGGAGAATCATTGATGTTATTGGCAGCTGATGATGGTGGCTCCAAAGGACCATCCATAACAGCCATAGTTGGGACAGCTTCCAGTTCCTCAAACTCACTGCAGTTAAACATAATGCAAGTATTTTAAGTTTTATAACTTATTTATCAAAGCACAGGCAGGCACAAAAATATCCAAAGTGCCACCAATTTTCTAGATGTAATAAATGGAAACCCCAACTTTCTAGTGCTTGATACTAAATCAGTAAACTCAACGATTAGTAATTCAGCTGTAATAATTATAATGGGAGAGAGAAAAGGGAGGGGATCAGGAATTCACAATAAAGTACCGATCAAAAGGAAATCTGAACTTATAAAGTAAATGAAAATATACCAATCATGAATAACAATGATAATTCTCAAGTAAATGAAGTTATTGTGTGTAATGTGGGTCAAAACAACATAAAATGGCTGTTTTACCTACCATCTTGACTAGAGACCTTATAGAAGATTGGTATTGCTGGAAGAGCAACTTTTGCTCCATGGAAAAATCCTAAAATAAATAAATTCACCACATGTACTGTGATTTACCTTTTTGTTGATGCTACCTTTGATTTCTGAGGCACCTTGGAATAAGCATTAAGTATCCTGCATATGTAAATGCAAAGAGGTTAGGCCAGCTCAAACTCTTTCTTCCTTTAAATACATGAGCCAATACCAAATTGGTCAAGCAGTTCATGTTAATTCATATTTGATAAATCAACAAATCATTAAACACATTCTCCAAATTGAAGACAGCAAGCCCAGAAATGAACTCTTCTACTTCGAGTATATTGCAAACTATGATTGAAAGTGCCTCCAAAGCCAATGAAAAATCATGTACAAAGGAAGATATAACTACTTCATTTTCTCAAAAAAGTGCAAGCCACTCAAGAAAATAAGATCCCCCATATATTCCAGATACAGAGTGCATCCATAAAACATTATCAGTTGTACCTGTTAAAAAGATTTGCAACCTCATCACACTCACGTTTATTGTAGAACCAAATACCATTTACTTCCTGTGCTGCATTACGGTAGAGCAAATATGGACCTTGGACTTCATACTCAAAATCTTCCAAGAGATTCTCCACCAGATTATCTGTTTATAAAGCATATTGAAGTCTCTTAAAACTAAAAGCTTCAAAACCAAAAACATAAGCTATGAAGAAAAGACAATTTTGTACAGATTCCATATATAAACATGCCCAATGCTTAATCACTACTTCAATAAGAGCAGCATCATACTCCAGTTATCATTATACAGTTATACCATTATAGAGACAAATTAAAAAGCTATTCAGAAACCATCAAGCACATTCCTTTACCAGTAAGAACCATCATACCATGGCAGCTAATCTTAGATCATCTTCGTAGTTTGAAGAATTAATACAAACAAAGAAAATTGCACCATTTTAAACTTTTGAATTTTTTTGGGCACTATATGAAATAACTTTCCTCAAGCGACCAAAACAAATTTTGATTAAGACTTTACCTCTTTCTCCCTAGCAAGTCCCAATTTAAGTTTGCTTTCGTTAGTTAAAGTTTTAGCAATATATCTATTGGTTGAAATTCCTCTGATTGGTAAAATCACAGCAACAGAACAGGGGCCCTTAATTAGCTCGTTAATCTTCTTTTACGCGACTCTGACAATCGACCAACCCAAGTTAACTACCAATTTGAATTCTGCCATTACTCTGTAGCAAATAAATGATAACCCAATAAAACCGTGGTGAAGATACAGGTTTTTCATCACACAAACCTGTATTGCGCCTATTCATCACAATGAACTGAAAGCGAGGTTGCGTGCTCCTGCAATAAAAAAAGACAAGAACTTGTTTACAAAACCACACGATTCAACAACACAAAATACAAGGAGGAGAAAGGAACTCATTTTTGATACTTAACCTACCTCTTGACAACAAAAAGAGATCCCTCTACGTCCTTGCGACTCTACATGAGCATAAAACAAAGAAAACAACGCAATCAAACATTGGGGGAAAAAAAAATCGTAAATTCGAAAGGTCCCGAGACACAGAGAAGACGAACCCATTGGCTAAGCTCGATATTGAACTCGTAAAAGGTGACGTGAGCAGCGGTGATGAGAATTTCTTCGACGAAAGGGTCGATTCGTCTGAGTACGGTGAGATTGAGGAGCTTGGTGCTTTGCTGGTCGAGATTCGGCATCAATTTTCCATTTTGAGACATTTTCCCAAGACAATGATGCGTTAATTTCAACAAAGTGAGGCAAGAGATCAGGAAGAACCCTAAAATGTTGGGGCGGTGAAGGGGTGATAATGGGGATTGGGGGAAGAAGATAGAAGATGAAGAACAAGGTGAATGAATGAATGATGAAAATGTATAATGATGATGCAAAACGCAACGCACACACCTTGTACGGTAAGTTAGTTTGTGGTGAAGTTACTGATTTAACCTTATACACCCACCAGGTTCAGTAATAGGTTGAATCTTATAGTGGTTACTCAACTTTGTTGAAATTAATGTTTTAGTCACTTAACTCATAATTTTCACAAAGTAGTCTCTCAACTTTGCCAAATTACCATTTTGATAAACAATACTCGTTTTCATAACGAAATTGGCACCTAACTTCACCCACCATTGGGACTCGGACACATACGTCAAATGCTACTGTTTAAAAAGTTGTGTCCCTTTCCCCCTTTTCTCTCCCTTCTCTGCTTCTGCCTCCCTTCTCTGGTCGGCGCTGTGTTGTTTTTGCCTGGAAACCTTTGAGCTTCCGGGGTTTTGTCGCTTGAGCCGTTGGGCTTCCCGGCTGTTCAAGCATGTTGGAGCCGCCCTGTGCTCCCTCCTCCGATGACCCTTCCGGGTCTGTCGACTTTTGGGTCCCTTTTGGTGACCCCTTTGGTTTTTTTGTTTTTTCTTGTTGTTTTGTTTTTTCTTTGTGTTCTTGTATAGTTTGTTTTTCAGATCTGGCGACCCTCGACTCTATCCTGCAGATCTGTTAGGTGCTCGCTGTTTTTGGTTGGCTTGTAGATTCGGTGGTGATCCCCTCCATCCGGTAGCTTTTATCGGTGGCGGTGAACGCGAGGGATCCCAGATTTGGCAACCTCGCGACCCACCTGCTGCCTCCAGGGATCGGCCTCCACCTGATCAGGTCTTTGCATCAGCATCCTGGAGCCTGGCGCACCTTCCACATGGATAGATTGAAAGGTGTCTCGTTTGGATCACTCGACCGAAGGCCGCTATATAATTGGGCCCTTAATGGTTGTTTGAGTGTAATGTACACCTCCCTTCGGCCTTTGGATATGGGTATACTCTAGTTTCTTGCTCCTGATGTAATTTTATTGTTTATTTGTCCTATAGATGTCGTATGGCGGTGTTTGAAATGATCCAATTTCGTTATGTTCAAAAAAAAAGTTGTGTGATTATTTTCTAGCTATATCAAGAGTTGTATTTTATTATTTAAATTGAAAAATAAAAATTATTAAATGAAAAAAAAAATTTAATAGTAAGAAATTCATGCTTATTTAATAATTAAAATTATACCATTCAAAATTTTAAATTACGCAACATTATTTTAACATGTGTAATGACAAAAAAGATGAAAATCTATAATTAAAATTTAAAATTAATAACACGATATAAATTATATTATTAAATGAATTAATAATATAATACAATGAACATTAAAAAATAAAAAATTAATTATTAAATAACGTAAATTCATTTTCATTTTATAATATATTAAATAATATAACATATATCACGTCATTAACCCTTAATTTTAATTTTAAGTTTTGTTCTCATTTATCACTATTCATTTGATATGTTATTACATAACATTATTTTAACATGCCTAATGATAAAAAAGATAAAAATCTATGATTAAAATTTACAATTAATAACGTGACATAAATTGTATAATTAAATTAATAATATAATATAATAAATATTAATACAAAAATTAATTTATTAAATAACATAAATTCATTTTATAATATTTTAAATAATATAACATAAATCATGTCATTAACCCCTAATTTTAATTTCAAGTTTCATTCTCATTTACAACTATTCATTTGATATTGCTGATATTGCAAATAAGCTGAGAATCTTGATTTTAGTCTAAAATTACATCAACTACTGCCTTCGGTTAAACCTCCTCCACAGAATTTGCTCCGTACATTGTTGTCATTGTCACCTAATGAAAAAGGATTGTAGAATAACGTTTTACGTGCTTACAAGGTTCCTCAGTTAACAACGTCATTATTGTTGTACGATGAAAATCTGACTAAACTAAACCACAATTTTATTGACTTGAATTCTAACATCAAGTCCCAAGTGTCTGAATCACTTCGATTGAGTTAGGACAAATATTAGCATTGAGAACCCCAAAAGATCCTTCTAGCTCACATACAATGCACTAATATTTATCCTGCAAATTTTTCATTCATTCTGTAGCCTTGCCCTTGCGTCTGCTGCTCTCGGTTTCTACAAGATAACAGACCATGGAATCAACGTCATCCCCAAATATCCCATGCGCTTCAATTGCCTGCAGATAGCTGAATCCCATTGACAACAGTATTTGCATGCCGCTGCTCAGAGCATTGTCCTGCTCTTTCCCATTTCCCAGCTTGGTTTCACTGCCAGATGATCCTGTTTTCCAAGTTACAGCTACTGTCAGCATTATGGTTTTCTAGTTCTAGGCAAAAAGGCTACTGAAACTTTCAGTTCCTGCAATTCTATAGGGTAAGTTGAATGACCTGGATACTTACTGGCTCCGGAAGATGATGGTTCAGCACTGGAAGTTGATGATTCTTTATGGCCGACATGCAGCTTGAACTTGTCCTGAGCAAGGTACTCAGCACGAGAAATTCCCATAACCATTCTTTCAATTTCTTTCTCTGTAAGCTCAAGATCTGAATAAAACTGCCCCTCAGCTAGAAGTGCCTGTCATTTATATAAAAAGCATAATCTTGTTAATAAAAAGTCACCAACCAAACCAGTGGCAAAAACATCAAAAAATAAAAATACTTGCATTATCAATCTGCTGGTCTTGTTGAGCTTTAATAGCAGCCTTCACTTGATCCTTGTCCACATTCCTCTGCAAAGCCGGTAATTATAACATCAGCAAACACAAATCCTATTTGCTAGTCTAAGTTTATTTCTAAGTCATATCCATCATAGTTGAAATAGGTAAAAGAGATGCGGTCATACCCCTCGGAGACAGCTAAATCCAAGTCCAGCACCAATTGTCAACCTACGTGGGTCAACAAGAGAATTGTAATGATTCCTGTGATGGTAACTCAGCCTTATGGGAGGCGTGTCTGTATTGTAGTTCCCATGAAATATGTTTATGGGTTCTGCATCAGATAATTTTTGTCAGCAAAGGCAAACATCACCAAACATGTCAAACATATCAAACCTGTTGTCCAAGGCATATCACTACATTATGAGTAATTTCTCTGAAACAAGGCATATCAGACCTGTGCTATAGGAATAAATGTGGATGGGCCTGTTGAAAATTTCTGATAAAGCTTGGATCTCTACATTATTCCCATAAACCTGCCACCAAGGTAACAAACCTACATTTCAGAAACAATTGGAAAGAAAAGGAAATATGCTTCTAAATATACCTTAACTGAGGTAATGTAATACAAATTCCAGCTTTTGAATATCTCCTCATTCACAAATGTTTCAGCCTAATCTCAAACGTATCATTCCATATATTTAAAAGTACATACCTTGTCTCTTCTCTTTCTCTTGCAGTAAGAGGTAAAACCTTCTGTTATAAACTGAGAAAAGTGATCCCTCTCTTGCTCCTAGATGTACAGAAAAATATAACAATCATCATCAGATACCATGGAATCATGCTTTTCATGCACTTTATTTAAACTACACTCAAGACCAACAAATGAAGCCACCACACACACACATACTCTTCAATCTAAATCTTGGCACTACAACTGTCAGCCAGTACCACAATATGTAACATTCTAAAGTTGTTTCTTACACGCTAAATTCAGGTACTGAAACCCAACATACATTTGTTCATCTTGCTCTCAGAATTTCCATCCTCTGATTATGTGCAAAGCTCCAAATTAGCTGATAACATCATTGTAATAATATATAATACCAGCACCAAACAACTGCTTTTACATATTCTTGAATAAAAGTGGAAGGTTAAAACATGAATTCTTCTGCCATTACCTCTCTCTCCCTCTCTCTGTTTCTTGTTTTTCATAAAAATACATGACAAGACTAGTTTTCCTTCATTCTTACTTTACTTTGATTATCTACCTCTTCTTCACACTATCTAGGAAAAATATACATAGGCCAAAAAGAGATCTCCAATACCATGGAAATGCAACCAACCAAACTACAGAACATTATCAACAACTACACCACTAGAAACTCTCAAGTCTTAATAAAGTGTTAGAAGGCCATAGTACAGTGGTTCATAAGTAAAATAGGATGAGAAAAACAACATTTGCACTAATGTTGTCTCCAAATTGTTCAAATATCTTGAATCCTTCTTTTTTAAAGAAATAAGAACTACAACAGTAAAACAATTCATGATGCATGAACATCAAAAGCAAACATCTTAAAGAATTGAAATGGCCATACAGCATACCATGTAATCTAAGCACATTTGTCTTGTCAAATCATATGCTTCAGAGTCCCCATACACTTGATCTGCAACAGCACGGAAGAGACAGTTCCCGTCTGCCAACATCCGTTTGACTTCCAGACCTTTAGCCCTTCTGATATCAATTTCAAACTGACTTTCTCGTTCCTGAACATAGGAGAGACCATCTTTTTGTTAGTCAATCTCATGCAAAAAGATTGAACTAGCCAAAACATCAATTTCTTCAAACATATACATAAGGCGAAACTAAGAGGTCGCATGTCCAAGGCAAAAGTGTTAGGATACAAATGGATAGATGCAAAACCACATTGTCAGGAGAAAGTAATTTCACCAACGGTCTTTACCACAGACACTACATTACCAGTGGACCATACAAATTTTTACAGGGAGACAATCAAATTACTACTTCATATGGGCACAAAGAACAAAATAACAAAGCAAAACAAAGAATAACGATCTTAGATTTCTCTAAGCAATCATGCTACACTTTTTAAGAAAATTACGTTTTTCCCTAAGAAACAACTTATTTCACAAAAAAACCAGAATAGTAAAAATGAAATCATAAAAAAGAGGGAAATAAAAACTTACTAAATCATCATAGGAGGATACAAAGCAGGGATTTTGCTCATCAGCACTATTGTAACCCTCACTTTCAGCATGAGACCTAGGAGAAGAAGGCCGAGATCCAGATGGTGATGACTTTACTGAGACAACAGGCCAGGCAACTGCCCTTCTAGTTGATACAGCACGTGCAGAATTTGAACTTCCTGAGACAGATCTCCTTGAATTTGAGTTTGCAGCAGAAGTTTTTGGAGGAGGAACAGGAGGTGGTGGAGGATGTGGACTTCCGCTACCAACTGACAAAGGATCACCACTAGATCCTTCGCAATCAACCAACAAATTTTCTGAAATCCTCAACCCACCCAAGTCCCTAATCATTTCCCCAGTACCTATAGCATCATCTGTCTTCAGTTTCTCACAGTCAATAATTCCATCACTTGAACTCTCATTTCTATCACTGCACAAATTTTCCACGACAAGTTCATCATCTTTAGCTGCATTACTATCACAAGTTCCATAAATCTCCAAAGGCTCATCTACAACAATTTGTTCCTGCACTTCCTCTCCAATTTCCTCATCTTTCACAGCCGAAAGAACCTGAGGAGCGGAAGTCTGTTGCTCTGCCCGAGAAGATGAACCGGTCAAGGAAGAAGAACGGCTTGGGTTTGTAGAAGAGCTACCAGCAGATCCTCTTTGAACCAAAATGCGGGTCATTGCTGTGATGTATGTTATCCTTAATCAGAAACCCTAGCCCCAATCCCCTTCCAGAACCCCAAAACTTAGAGACTTACAACCCTACTCAAAGGTTTGTTACGTGTTCTTGCCTTGGGGCCAATCCTTTGGCTTAATGTTTTCTTCCAGCCCAGCACGCTCCCCTCCTCGCGAAAAGATCTCTGCATTCCCCTAACAATTCTCATGAGACCCAGAGCTCGAACTTTAAACAATAAAACCCTCTAAGTACTCGAATTTTTACCCCAAAAATCCCAAAAATTCACCTTCACTAGTCCAAGCTGCAATCAACACCATACAATTTCAAAGCAAAAAATCAACCAAAAAATAAAGTTTCATCCATCAAAACCCTTGTTTGTTTTCTGACAAAAGGTAGGAAATTTGAACAAATAACATCATGAACACCCAAAACCTTTTATTATCCTGGCAACAGTAAAAGAACATGTTTCATAAAAAAAACCTAACTATTATAACTAACATAACTTCCCAAAAAACCACAAATTTCATGTTTATTTTCCTACCATTTCTCAGCAACAAACCAGGCAAGCAAACAACTGAAAACCAAACGCCAAAAGAACCCATCAACGATCCATGGTCAGCAGACCCCAGAAACAAAACCCGATCACCAAACAGAAAACATAACAAAAATTCAATCTTTAAAACCCTAGGGTTGACTCAGCTCGAGTTACAAAACTCACCTTGAGAAAGAAGAGGACAACGTTGAAACCGAGTTGAGATCCGCAAAAGGGTCCAAGCCGAAATGAAAGATGGGTTCTTTTCCACAAGGGTTTTTGGAGAAACCAGAAACTGAAACAAAGAGGACGAAGGAAAGTACTAGGGAAGCAAGGAAGAATTAAAGAAAGACTTGGGGGAGAGAGAAAGGAACAGAATTTATGTAATTAACTTTGCGGAGGTAAAATGGGAGGCTGCCTTGGCTTTTTAACGGGGAGCGGGCAACCGACGCAGTTTGGGGATGAGAGACCGTCACGGTGACGTGGACTCTACCCAAAGCCGACGGCTTGGTGAGGAGCAGCCGACACGTGGAGAGTTCACGGCGGCTGATTTTTGGCACGTGTTTTGTAAAACGTGTGAGAGAAGGAGGAGAGCAGATAACAGTGCAGTGGTTAATAAATTTCGTTCTGTGACGTGTAGAGATGGGGTTGGCTGCCTCGTCACTTCTGTCTCCTTTCATGTCAGAGAATCTTTACTTACTTTACCTGGAAACTCTGGTTTTTTTTTTTTTTTTTTTTAACAAGGAGAAAATTGAAGGGGTAGATAAATATTACAAAAATAATGATTTTCTTTGAAACTTTCTATTATGGATTATATGAGAAGTTAAGAAGTAACCTTTTTTTTATTATCAAATTTTTACTTTTTATTCAATTTAAAATTTAAAATTTAAATTTAAAGTTTTAAATTATTAGTTTTTTTTTTTAATAATTTGACATTATTTATAAGTACATATAAGAAGAAAAAAATGAGTTCCATGAGACTCGAACACATTACCAATAAAAATAAACAATCCTAAATCAGGTCCAATATCATTGGCAGAAACAACCATTATTTTAAATTATTAGTTATTGACTCATTTTATAGAAGTTTTTACAAAATAATAATAAATAAAATAAAATAAATTAAAATTTAAAATTAATAATGTAATTTAAGTTATTTTATTTAAATTTAAAATATTATATAAATTAATTAATTTAATGACATGAACAA